CGCCCATTTTCCAAAATTTTACCATAAACGTATTTCTTGGTAAAGAATTGTTGCAAGCATCAATTTTGAATAAATTAGCTTTAATATTTACTGATTTATCGAAGATTTTGTATTTCTCTAAATTACCGTTATATGGGATGTGGGCGTGGTTATTCTCCGATTTTCAAAATATTCGGCCATTTCGTATGTTATATCAAGGCCAACAACTGTGCCAAGTTTGGAAGAAACTGGTGCAGCGGTTACCAAGATATGCACATGTAACCATAAGTGGGCGTGGCTACGCCCATTTTCCAAAAATGTATAATATTCTTATTTTCCGTATAAAAGTTATTGTAAATATCAATTTTGAGTGAATTATCTTCAGTAGTTACTAAAATATCGCAGTTTTCGTATTTCTGGAAATTACCGTTATATGGGAAGTGGGCGTGGCTAAAGTCCGATTTCGCCCATTTTCAATACCACCTTGGATTAAGGGAAACCTACATACCAAATTTCGTTGAGATATCTCAATTTTTGCTCGAGTTATCGTGTACACGGACAGACGGACAGACGGACGGACAGACAGACATGGCTCAATCGATTTCTTTTTTCATCCTGATCATTTATGTATACATTTGTCTATATCTATCTCGATTCGTTTTGGCTGTTACAAACAACCGTTATGTGAACAAAATTAATATACCGTTGTGCACAAGTGCGCTCGGGTATAAAAATAAAGCTATGTCTAAACTTAAGCATTTCTATTATCGGTTTTTGGCGTATGTGTGTTTCTTGGTTGTAAACCAATTTAAAACCGATAATAAAATGCTTCACTTAGACACTTTAAATATAAAGTGAGCTTTAAAGTTACAGGTTACTTGAGAAAACGACTCATAGAACTTTTTGTGAGGTTATCGATTTTTCTGTGCCTCTTTTGGACTTAGTAAATTTAAATCCAATTGAATATTAGCGGGAAGAAATAAAACAGGCACGTTAGTTAATCCGTTAAGACGTGGCGATTTTAATTTACCTTGTTTCCTATATCCAAATATGAGTTTTCACAAAAAGTGGACTTAGCAACTTTTCACTTTAAGGTAGCGATATGTTAATGAGATGATAATTGGTCTTTCTTTATAGGACTTTCTTTTATTGGCAACTAAACTGCCAAACATTTTTAGCTTTAGTCTTTCTTCTCCATGCCCTCAGGCATTTGAGCCTCCGCTATATAAAGCCATATCCACTAGATCTACGTCTAAAAATAGTAACGACAACCAAACTGTTGATCTAACAGTGTTGCCATCGACATATAAAGCTGCCCTATCTAATATATATCCTCCGAATAACTCGGAATCCCGTAAACCTACGGTGACCATATTAACCAACGTAAAATAAAGGACTTTTTTTTTTTAAATGATTTGGGAATACGTACATACAACTCGTATAATAAAAGTACCTTACCCATATCTTAATTTAAATCAAATATTTACAGTTAATTGTATTATTTAATTGTACAAGTTCCCCTGCTGTAGCGAACAAATGAAGCCAAATCCCTTTCAAGGACTTCGCCATCCCTTGCTACCACACAGTGGTTCAAAATTTGGAATTTAATGTTCACAAACCACCGAAACCTTCATTTTTCAACCAATTTTTACTAAAAAGCAAACAAAAAACTATTTAATTTGGTGAACATTTTTTATAACATTTCAATTTTGTTTGTATATTTTTTTTTTATTTTGGAAGAACCGTACAATTGTTTTCAACTACTTTTTGTTATGAAACATTTATTAACTGGAACAGGAGAGTACATTTTCTTCAAAATCGTTACTTTTTCTGCATTTTGCACAAAAAGTTTAATGTAATCAAATAAAAATTCAGAAATCAGGCTTAACTGGTCTCTTGCAAATATGGTAAGCTTTCATAAAAAAAAAATAAAAATTAATCAAATGAAATGAAAAATGAAGGCTCCAGTGAATTACGAACACTAAATGCCACTTTTGAACCACTAAGCAGCAGGGGGTTTATTGTTCTCTTTCAGTGGAACTGGAAACTCAGCGTGCAACACCATCCTGGGCACAACTTTCCCTGTGCTTTATAGATTGTACAAAGATAACCAATTAAATAGAAACCCTTAAGTGAGGTGCGAAACAAAATGGGGAAGGTTTTCATTATATTTTATAAGGGACATTTTTATTTTTTTATATTCTCCGTTAAAAAAAATACCTCTGAAAAATGCAGAGCCGATTTAAAGGACAGTTTAAGAAATAAAGGACAAAAGGCGTCCTTTATTTTGAAAAAAATTATAAAGGACAGGGGGTTAAAATAAAGGACTG